TGTCCAGGTGTCCCCGTGATGGACTGGAGACCTGTCCAGGTGTCCCCTGCCTCTCACACAGTGACCCAGAAAGGAAGATGATGGATGAAAACAACAGTTCAGACAAGTCAAATAAACACAAAATGTTTATTGTTTATTTGTCACATGCAGGTCAACAATGCCATGAAATGTTCAGGATGAGAAGAACTCATTCGATTGTGTGTCTAAGCTACAAAGCTGCCGTTTGTTTCCATCTTTTCTTTGCAGTTGTTGACAACATTCTCCATGTTGTGACTAAGGACAGAGTCGGGACCTCTGGACAGTTTCTTTGTGTTGAAACGTTTCATCTTTCATCCAAAAGACTTCATCAAGGCTCCAGTATACTCAGGTGGACCTCAGTCCACGGAGGTCCGCGTGTACCGGATTAGACTTGAAGCGGACGCTCGCAGGGCATGTCCGTGCAAAGATCAATTTTTACGACCACGTACGTGTACTCTGTGTCGCACAATAAACTGCCCGGCAACAGACTGTTTTTTTTGTGACATCATTGTATTAAATTCCCCTTCTTCATCCCTGATCTGGTTTATTGTCCTTTTCTTTAGCTTTTTTCCCCAAGAAGCAGCGATCTCCTCCTCCTCCGTTGACGCCACGACTGAAATGGTGAGAAATGAAGTGAAGGAATTTGTCACGAAAGAATTAAAATCAGGTCCAGTGTGGCTGCAGGAGGGTCCGGAGATTTCCTGGTGGGCTGGTCTGATGTGTGCAGGGCCAGTGCTCCCTGTTTTTTTTTTTTAGAACTTTTTATTAACAACATATAAACACAGCTGCGACCTGTCAATCAATCCAAGAGATGTGTCAGCAAATGACCAATCGGCGACCTCAATTTGTCCTGAAGGTAAACGCCCCTTGCCTGGGTGAACCAGTTTGATGGTGAGAAGATGGTTTGGTTTTAAGATGGAACCATCTTACCACCATCAAACTGGTTCACCCACTATATGCAGGTGTTATTTATAAGACTGAGGTTGTTGCAAATCCTTGGACTGATGAAGTCCTTTGGATGAAAGACGAGACGTTTCAACAAAAAGAAACTGTCCAGAGGACCTGACTTAACGTTGTTGGATTTTTTTTTCTCTGGATTATCGAGCATGAACTTTGATGTTCTCCGTGATGTGACTAAAGTCATAGCACACTATTCCAGGTGGAGCTGCACGTTTTGGTGTAATTTGCATATTTAACGTCAAAGCTGTGCAACATAACGGAGGACCAACATGTCTGAACAGGACAGTGATGAGTGTGTCAGTGTTCCTTCTAGAATCTAGATCATCGTAACGTTGGGATCACATTGATCTGCTGGGTTTATTTGGACATGGATCTTACCGATGAAGCTTTCTCCTGCAGCTGAGGTCCACTTGTCGTCTGGCTGCTGGGTCAGGATGTTATAAAAGTTGACTCCATCAGTGTTCTGGCAGGAAGACGTTCAGTTTTTAGTTTGCTAATATAAACCATAAATACATTCCTGTCCTTTCATCCACAGCTCCTGGACACAAAACTCAGAGCATGAGAGGTTATCAGAGAAAAGGTTATGTTTCAACACATTTGGTCTTCAGCTGGAAGTTCAGAGCTTCGATCCAAAGCATCAACATGGAAGTGTCTCTTTCTGGTGACGGATGCTAATCAGCTTCAGTGTCAGAGGACGATGCTCACAAAGCTTTAGATACAAAACGTTTCGTGCACCGCCAATGACTGTCATATCTTTTCAGAAACTAGTTTCATTTGTGTCCAAAAAGTCTGACCCGGCCCCAGCCCGTAGACATCATTTTCAAACCCCACCCGATCCGACGAATTAACAGTAATTACAGGTCCGAACCTAAAAAATACCCCGACATTTTTAATTCATCTTTGACTGCTTATGTAGTCATGAACGGTTGGTGGACGTGCTTGGCTGAGGGGGCAGAAGATCGTAGCTGAGGGGGTGTTTTTCCTTTCATGGCCGTCAAAGAGCATTAAAACCTGCTTCTGCTTCATTCTGCATTATTCAGACACGGACCCTGCTCTGACATGTCGGATATTTTGTGATCTCACCTGTTTGGGTCTTCGGCCACGCCCGTCCGCTGAATGAACGTCCATTTGGGTGATGGATCACAGGCAGTATCCATCTGAAGCTTAACTGAACTTTTTACTTCTTTCAAGGCCGGTCAGCGCGCGGTCAAATGACCGTGTGCAGCAGGTGATAGTATGGCAAGCCATGTTGCCATTTAAATGGATTGTCAGCCGTGTGCATCTGCTGATGCAATCAAAAGCCCGACACCGACCCAGCCCGCACATTAAGCACATTATTATGGACCAGCCTGGCCCTAATCTGGGTCGGACGGGGCCGGGCTCCGGGTTAAAAATGACAGCTCTATAAGAAACAATCCTGTGCGTCCTGTGATTGTTCTGTGGGTTTAAACCGTGTCTACGGGACAATTACAAGGAACAAAACTAACAGCGCTACGCAAAATAATGACACTTCTGTTTCAAAGGGATTTCAAAATAAAGCTGCTTGAAATGGCCATGTGGTTTTAAAATTTTGCACAAAGAAAATAAGAGCACTGATTTATGTACCAGATTTACAAAACTTCAAACAGTGTTGGAATGTCAACAAACGTACGGCTGATAACGTTTTTTTTCCCCCATTAATTTAACTGAGCAACGCTTTTGGCATCCACCAGGAGGTGCTGTAGCACCCTTCACACCCTCGCTTCCCACAGCCTTTCCATTTGACTAATGTTGAGTCACAGTCTGAGGTTCTGTTCAGATTATTTTCACTGGTCGGGTTATGGTGCTCACCTCCTCCACCACAGACTCGGCCACAGACCACAGCTCAGTGGCTTTCAGGAAGTCCTCGTTCTCCACAGCCTGCTTCACTTTCTCCGCTGCACTGGAGACGTCAGCCAGCCCATAATCGTCCAGCAGCGACTGCTCAAAGGAGAGCAAAGAGAGGTTCACGCCACCAGCTCCACCCCAGAGAACCAACATCTTCTGTTACTCACAGTGGAATACAGGTAGGGTCCCCACGTCATGACCGAGTCTGGGCACAGAACAAGACGAGCAGTGAGCCGCCGAGACCTCAACAACAAACAAGTTTAATAAGACACAAACCACTGAATGTTCTCTGAACGGCTGCCATTTTCTAATGTTCCCATCACCCCCTGCTGATAGACCGGTGATAATTCTCTGTTCAAAAACATCCATACAAGTTAAGACGGCTGTCACTTTAGAGATATTGGGTTCAGATTTGTTGTGATGGTAGCCGAGAGTGATCCTCAAAACATAACTGACAGTCTGTTAGTAAAGTTTCTCATGAATCATTAAACAAATTTTATTAAAACTGTCAGGAAATCATTGGATGTGCATCTACAAATGATTAACTGTTAAAACCAAACCAACATCGCCACCACAGCCAGATGACCATAGAAAACACTACACTGGCCATAATTCAGCCAGTTTGACAGATATTGAGCTAAAACAGGATGTGGTAGTAGCAGGGAGTCATTCACATACTGTACCTGTTGGCACATACTCTAAACATGACGTCTTGTAATATTATATGAGATCACACATATTGTTATTTTCAAGGTTTGAGATGAACGGCTACAACTCATTTCTCAGCATAAGATCATTTCAGTAAGTCTGACAAATAAAGCCCCCCCCCCCCCCACACACACACACACCCACATTCTTGTAAACATACTTTTGGGGACTTTGCATTGACTTCCATTCATTTTCTACAGCCTAACCTTGACCCTTACCCTAAACCTAACCATTACTAGTACATACCTAACCCTAACCCATCCGCAATTCACACCTTAGTCCTAAACCTAACCCCCCAACGACACGGCTCTTTATGGTGACCTGGCTTTGGTCCCCATAAAGAGCAGTTGGTTCCCACAATGCATGATTTTTTGTAAAATTGGTCCTTACAAGGTAACCTGAAACAAAAATGCACACGCGCTAGAGTTGTCACTTCTGACCCGAGCCCTAAGCTCGGCCCCACCAGACATGAATTTGGGGTAGACTGGGCCATGATAATGTGCTGGATGGGCAGGCTGGGTCGTTGTCGGGCTTTTAATTAGGTCAGAATCAGCCACAATCCAATTATATGATAACATGACCCGCCATACAATCACCAGCCGCACGCGGCCATTTCGCTGCAAGCTGACTGGCCCTGAAAGAAGTAAAAAGTTCAGTTAAGCTTCAGATGGGACTGTACTGCTAGGAAGTGATCCATCGCCCAAATGGACGTTCTTTCAGTTGCTGCATTCAGCGGACGCGCGGCCGATGACCCAAACAGGTGAGATCGTAAAGCAGACGTGTTAGAGCAGGGTCCCTGTCTGAATCAATCAGAATGAAGGCAGAAACAGGTTTAAATGAAATGCCTCTCAGCTCCAGTCTTATGCACCTTTCAGCTGTGTGGCCCCGACGACAGGTGTATCCCAAAACAGACGTGTCAGAGCTGTTCGCGTGTCTCAGTAATATAGAAGAATGCAGCAGAAACAGGGTTTGAATGCTCTTTTATGGCCATGACAGGACAAACACCTCTCAGCTCAGAATCTTCTGCCCCGTTTATTCAGCTGCGCATCCCCGATCGTTACTAATTAAAAATGTTGGGGGGGGGGGGGGGGGGGGGGTCGGGGTGCGGCCCTGTAATTACTGTTAATTTGTTGGGTGGGGTGGGGGGGGGTTTGGAAAATATGACTGTGGGCTGAGGCCGGGTCAGATCGATTTTTTGGGCCCAAATGCAACTCTAGCACACGCGCACGCACACACACACACACACACATACATACACACACACACACACACACTCTCAGGAAATGAGACACTTTTACAAATTCACAGCTGATTTGAACAGGTATTCAGTACAGCAGCCTCCTTGAAGGTAAAAGAACAATAGAAACTGGCTTTTAAATAATCCTAACTTCCTGCTGACTGATTATAACTTCCTATAACTTCATGCTGACTGACAATAACTTCCTGCTGACTGACTATAACTTCCTATACCTTCCTGCTGATGACTACAACTTCCTGCTGACTGACCATAACTTCCTATAACTTCCTGCTGACTGACTATAACTTCCTACTGACTTGACTATAACTTCCTGCTGACCGACTATAACTTCCTATAACTTCCTGCTGATGATTATAACTTCCTGCTGATGACTATAACTTCCTGCTGATTGACAATTTCCTGCTGACCGACTACAACTTCCTGCTGACTGACTAACTTCCTGCTGACTGACTACGACTTCCTACTGACTGACTACGACTTCCTGCCTGCTGACTACAACTTCCTGCTGACTGACTACAACTTCCTGCTGACCAACAGGATTGGTCCTATAACTTCCTACAACTTCCTACAGACTGACTATAAACTTCCTGCTGACTATAACTTCATATAACTTCATGCCGACTGATTATAACTTCCTATAACTTCATGCTGACTGACAATAACTTCCTGCTGACTGACTATAACTTCCTATACCTTCCTGCTGATGACTATAACTTCCTGCTGATTGACTACAACTTCCTGCTGATTGACTACAACTTCCTGCTGACTGACTATAACTTCCTATAACTTTCTGCTGACAGACTATAACTTCCTACTGACTTGACTATAACTTCCTACTGACTTGACTATAACTTCCTGCTGACCGACTATAACTTCCTGCTGATGACTACAACTTCCTGCTGACCGACTACAACTTCCTGCTGACTGACTATAACTTCCTATAACTTCCTGCTGACTGACTACGACTTCCTACTGACTGACTACGACTTCCTGCCTACTGACTACAACTTCCTGCTGAATGACTACAACTTCCTGCTGACTGACTACAACTTCCTGCTGACTAACTACAACTTCCTGCTGACTAACTACAACTTCCTGCTGACTGACTACAACTTCCTGCTGACTGACTACAACTTCCTGCTGACTGACTACAACTTCCTGCTGACTACAACTTCCTGCCGACTGACTACAACTTCCTGCCGACTGACTACAACTTCCTATAACTTCCTGCTGACTGACTATAACTTCCGGCTGACTGACTATAACTTCAGCTGACTGACTATAACTTCTGCTGACTGACTATAACTTCTGACTGACTGACTATAACTTCCGGCTGTCTGACTATAACTTCTGGCTGTCTGATTATAACTTCCTGCTGACTGATTATAACTTCCTGCTGACTGACTATAACTTCCTGCTGACTGATTATAACTTCCTGCTGACTGACTACAACTTCCTGCTGACTACAACTTCCTACTGACTGACTACAACTTCCTGCCGACTGACTACAACTTCCTGCCGACTGACTACAACTTCCTGCCGACTGACTACAACTTCCTATAACTTCCTGCTGACTGACTATAAACTTCCTGCAGACAGACTATAACTTCCCATAATTTCCTGCTGACTGACTATAAACTTCCTGCTGACTGACTATAACTTCCTATAACTTCCTGCTGACTGACTATAACTTCCTGCTTAAAGACAATAACTTCCTGCTGACTGACTATAACTTCCTATAACTTCCTTCTGACTGACAATAACTTCATGCTGACTGACTATATCTTCCTATAACTTCTTGCTGACTGACAATAACTTCCTGCTGACTGGCAATAACTTCCGGCTGACAGACTATAACTTCCGGCTGACAGACTATAACTTCCGGCTGACTGACTATAACTTTCGACAGACTGACTATAACTTCCGGCTGACTGACTACAACTTCCTGCTGACTGACTACAACTTCCTGCTGACTAACTTCCTGCTGACTGACTACAACTTCCTGCTGACTGTCTATAACTTCCTATAACTTCCTGCTGTCTGACTATAACTTCCCGCTGACTGACTATAACTTCCTATGCCTTCCTGCTGACTATAACTTTCTATAGCTTCCTGCTGACTGACTACAACTTCCTGCTGACTGACTATAACTTCCTGTTGACTGACTATAACTTCCTGCTGACTGACTATAACTTCCTATACCTTCCTGCTAACTGACTATAACTTCCTATAACTTACTGCTGACTATAACTTCCTATAACTTCCTGCTGACTGACTACAACTTCCTGCCGACTGACTACAACTTACTGCTGACTGCCTATAACTTTCGGCTGACTGCTTGCAGCATCTCGTCCTGAACAGAGGTCAGCAGCATAAATCACATCAGCTTTCAACTTAACCTAGACCATTTCATTGAACTTGTTTACATCAATAATCCAAACTCCAGATGAAGAGATCCAAGTTCATGCTCAATAACCTAGATGAGGAGCATTTCCTATCAAAGTCCTGAGCAAAGGTTGACCTACAGGTATACAGACTGATCGGTACTGACCCAGAGGGGAAATCCACGAGTCTCCAAGTGCCACACCAGCAAAGCTGCACTTCATCGAGCCTTGAGCTACGGCCTGTAGAAAGATAGGTTAACCTCTGAACATGCAAAATCTCACGTCAGGTTAAATCAGTCACTTATTCAAATAAAATCTTTGTGAAGCTTCATTATTATTGAAACATTTGGGAGGTAAGTTACTTTTTGTTTATTGTATTGAACTGCACTGAAATATCTCAGACTTGAAGAGATACACAAACCTTTGTGAGTTCCAAGGAGATAGCAGCTGCCATCTTCCCTCCATATGACTCAGAGAAGATATAGAAGGGGACGCTCTACAAAGCAAACCAGAAAATCTCATATTTTACTGAAACTGCAAGGGATTATAGGAGTTCATTTCAGAGGCGTGGACGTTCTTCTGAAGAACCATGAAGAAGAATAAACAACAATCAAACAAGTGTTTTGGCTTCAAACTTGATAGGTTCAAGTCAGGTCTGCATTATTTACATTAACACAGTGTCACCTTATTTAGAAAATGAATAAATAAGATAAGGCATTAAGTTGCATCCTAATGTCTTTAAAATGAGTGAACATAAAAATAGACCAGTTTATTGCCATTGAAAACCTAAATGTGCCACAATATTTATATATTCACCCATCTAAAAAGGGATAATCCAATAAACTTTGAAATGATGTTCCATGTCAGCTGTGGCTGGTGGTGATAGAACATGTACAATCTAAAATCTTACTGGTTACATGTCATCAACTTCAGCACTTTATCTTAGATATGTAAAACAAGCTTCAAAAAAAATTTATGCCACTTTTTTAAAGAAAATGTTCAACCCTGGCCTCACAGCAATACATGCCAAATGTAAGGGTGATGCAGTCCTGACAGTTCTTTACGTTATCACACTACGTAATGTGAGCCCATTCTCTCATTGTGCTGAATGGATCAGTCCACTGGAGCTTATCCGGGTTCATGCTGATCGGACTGAGCATTACATTCAGCAGCAATGCGGGTCACTCTGTGCTCCAACACGGGTCGCTCTGTGCTCCACCGTGATTGCTCTGTGCTCCAACGCGAATCGCTCTATGCTCAAACGCAAATCGCTCTATGCTCCAATGTGATCGCTCTATGCTCCAACGCGGATCGCTCTATGCTCCAACGCGAATCGCTCCATGCTCCAACGTGGGTCACTTTATGCTCCAATGTGATCACTCCATGCTCCAACGCGGGTTGCTCTATGCTCCAATGTGATCGCTCTATGTTCAAACATGAATCGCTCTATGCTCCAACGCGGGTTGCTCTATGCTCCAATGTGATCGCTCTATGCTCAAACGCGAATCGCTCTATGCTCCAATGTGATCGCTCTATGCTTCAATGCGATCGCTCCATGCTCCAACGCAAATCGCTCCATGCTCCAACGCGGGTAGCTCTATGCTCCTACGCGGGTAGCTCTATGCTCCTACGCGGGTAGCTCTATGCTCCAACGTGATCGCTCTATGCTCCAACGCGGTCATTTTATGCTCCAATGTGATCGCTCTATGCTCCAAACACATACATCACACAGTGTTCGGCTGATTAAACAGCAACAAGCTAAACAAATTATGTTGTACTAAAGCGTAGTTTAATGTTAGCTAATGTCGCGTCTGTTGACACAAGTATGTCGTTTTTGAGAAAGAGTTTTGTAAGCTTAAAAAAAAAACTATGAAAATACTAACACTGACTTGGCTAGCCATTAGCCTAGCCTGCAGAAAACCCTTTTTGTCTCTTTCTCCATACCCCGTGATCTGTGACTGATGTCACGGCTGATAAGATAATCATCAGTCCTTTAGCCTCGTGTCGTGGGAGCAGTACAAACATTGTTCACCAACAACCTCCACCTGGACTGATCCTCGGCAAAATGGTCGAGGACAAGGAAAGGGAGCCCTGTCCATCTATGGATGTCATATGCTCATTGTCAAGAAGGACACCCCCTTTTATGGTGTCCTTCAGCTTTTCCCTGAAGGATCACAGAGTTCCCTCTGCTCTCACTGTGTGGACAAACCACTTCAAGATCTTCTTCTTAATCTGCTTTAGGAAGAAGTCATGATTTCCAGTGAGGACATGGACTTTACGGCTAATCTCAATTATACACGTTTGGTCTCCCTGATGTTCACTACAGCAGGCTCCTGTTTACCAGGAACCATGATCCTGGTTTTCCTGCCATGACAACAACTCAAAATGTCTAATTTCTCTGCTTGAATGACTTGATCACTGGAAGATCCAGTTAAAGGTCTACATCATGGACAAAGATTGCTGATTTCTCTTCCTCCCAGCTGTAAAGTTTCTATCAGTGCCTCGGATACGTTAAGGTCCAACCAAGAGAAGACATCCACAACACATGCCAGCTGTGGTTACCATACTCTTTGCTGCTTTGAACAGTGCCTCTATGGCGTTGTTGATAAGATACTAACTATTGATTATTATTATTAATTATTTGAACATGCAAATACCACTAAGATCAAAGATTTCTTTGTTAAGGGAGACCTGGGCCTGAAGGCAGCACAAACAAGCAAGGTTTTGGACAGAACTTCAGAAATGACCAGACTTCACATTTAATGTCCCATAGCTCATAAAGTTGGCTGAGTGTTTCGGAGCTTGCTCTGGATCTTTTTTATAATCTGCATCCTTCCTACCAGCACGCCACATTTCATCCTGACCTTCAGAGTAAAGTGAGGACAGATGACAAACCTGGAACTCGGGCTTCTTTGTGAAGAAGTGTTGGAGCAGCACCAGCATGTCTGAGGCCACCGTGGACACGTTGGTGGCAAATCCATCCGGCCTTTCAGTGTAGCTGAACCCAGTTCCCACAGGGTTATCAACAAACAGCACACTGGCTGCCTGGACCTACAAAACAAACAAACAAACAAACAGACAAACACGCGCACACGCACACACTATATTTCAATCTTTGTCAAACCTTGTTAAAAATACACATAAAAAAACATCAAACTCTGGTTGATGAACTAAAAAAAAATAAACCACACTTTGATAAACCCACTTTTAAATTAATACTTTGAAAATGGAGAATTATTTAACATTTTTTTAAAGAAGTGTCAAACTTTCATAATAAAATAAGAGAAATTTAACTCAAAACTTCCAGTACAGCAGCTCTAAATGTGTTTGTCCCAGTAAGTCTTTAATACATAATGTCTTTAACACATAATGTCTTTAATACATAATGTCTTTAATACATAATGTCTTTAA